GGGAGCCATTTGGGGGCGAGGCAGGTCTCCCGCTATCAGGCCAGATACGAGCCGCCCCGCGCAGCTGAGTTAGAGCTGTACGTAGACCGACTGAAAAGCGGGGGACCACGGGCCAGTCACGACCCTTGAAGATTCCCCCTCCGTAAGCTCGCTGCTGGCCCCCCCACCTGCGGTACAGCCTCCGTGCGTTGGCTGCACCGAGTTGATTCCGCTAGCAGCAATACCTGGACCTGGGCCTGGTACCTCTCTAGCAGCGCATTGCCCGGCACGATCCGGTATCATCCAGTACCGCAACACGCTGCGCAGTACCGCAGAGTACGCTCGGTCTACCAAGCCTCGCGTTTAGAGCGCATGGGCTGGAGTCACCGGCGCAACCCCCACTTGCCTGATTCCATCGAGGGCGTTCCGCTGTGAGGAAGGAGCTCCTCGGCCGGCACTGCAGGAACTGGCTTCGCCCAGGGCTCGCGCTTAAGTGGCTCGGTCTGGCGCGATTAGTCATCCGCCATCGGGATTCACTTGCACCAGCGTCAAATACTGGTACAGCTGCTGGCACTAGCGGCTGAAGTCGCTTCGCTGTCGCGAGCTGGCCTTCGTACCGCATTCAGCTTCTCAACTTGCGCCGCCCAAGCAATTCCAGCTCTTGACCGCGCGTGTTTCATGTCCTACCTCTGGTCGCGCGCCCGGCCCCAGAAGCACTGAGAGAGCCGTGGAGCTGACTCTCGTCTGCCGAGATCTCCGTATGTAACTCTGGCCGCCTCGTCCTCCTCTGCCCCGCGATCCAGCCATGGCGGCAGTCTGGCCTAGCTTTGAATCATGCTGATGCTTATTGCGCCTGAGTCTTAGAGAACCACATCAGCCCTTCTTTTCTTGCTTAAAGCGTGCGCATTTGCCAACTGATTAGCATCGCGTTTCCGTCCGAGTTCTCGTCGTATCGTTCCGTCTCCGCAGAGTCCCTGATTGGTTTGATCTACGGGTCGTCCAGAGCCAACTCAGCGTCGCAACAGCCAACGGCGTCCCAACCACAGTACCAGATTCCCGGAATCCTGCAAAGTCTCATGAAAGGCTGTGGCTTCTTGAGATATTACTGAAGCTACGGAGAAGCTGGTGGAGTGCCGGCGACCTCATACATCATGGACGCCGCCCACATTTTCCGGCAAGGCCTGGGGACCGTTGCTCCTCGTATGAACCACGCCTATGCTCAGCCGCGAAACTTGGTGCAAAGCCCCGATGACTTTTTCGACGGTGATACCTCGAGTCACCGAGTTGCTCACACCCTGACAGCATGTTGTCGTTGTCGCCAGGTATGATATGATCAATACCCCGCCCCTGAGACGCACATGATTCATCTACACTGCTTTTGCTGCGGATCCCATCGAGGTTTGAAGGTGTAAGTGCTAATGATACATGGTAGCGAAAAACGAGATGTGACCCGACGCTTCCTCGCTGCCTGCCCTGCGAGAGATCAGGATCTGTATGCGAATATCTCGATACCGCCAAGGCACGCAAGATTAATCGCCGTTATGTAATTACGCTGCAGGACAAGGTCAAAGCCCTCGAGGCTGAGCTTGCCCAGTATACCGACGAAGACGGCGATCATCCCCCGACAAATGAAGAGCTAATTCGCCCAGGAGGCATGATTCGGTTGAGCGGCAATGACGAGACACCTCGCTATCTGGGACCATCTAGCGGTATTGCCATGACACGGCTGCTCATGGCCGAAGCCAAGCGGTTTACGGAGTCTAACAAAATTTCCGATCTCATCCCGGAGGTTCGCGCAAGAAGCCAAGCTCGCATGCAATCCATTCAGATAACCAGCAACAACAGAAAGAAAAGCTACCCCATGATCAGTGAATTTCCAGCCGAAAGTCTTCCTGCGCGTCATGTGGCCGACAGGTTAGTAGAGATTTTCTATAAAAAAGGTATGCCCGCATTTTCCATTCCTTTTCTTATTGCCAGACACGCTTAATACTGACCTTCCTAGCTCAAATTCACTGGCCTGTGCTTCATGAGACCATTTTCAAAGCAGATGTTGATGCCGTTTATAATGGCGACACGGATTCGTACAAAAACTTTCTTGTTCGCATGGTTATTGCTATTAGCTTACAAAAGTTGGACACGCAATATGCCGGATTGGGCGACTCATACTACATGGCGGCGATGAAATATGTCGAGGAAATTATTCGTCCCAAAGACCTTAAAACGCTACAGTGCCTCGTTCTCATCGGACAATACTCACTGCTCACCCCGACGCGAACGCCAGTGTACTATGTTATTGGACTCGCTACCAGAATATGCCAACAAGAAGGGTTAACAGACGAAAAGACTCTTACTACTACTGGTTATAACTTGGATCCACAAACGATCGACTTGCGCCGGAGGCTGGTATGGGTAGTCATGGCCATGGAACATGGCCTTTCGTACTACCTAGGCCGGCCCAGCGCATTTGCCGTTAGCAGTGACCGTTTTGATATTGCCTTCTTCAGCGCGGCCGACGATGCGAATATCACGCCTCAAGGAATTCTAGATGGGCCCCCCAGCACACGGAAGCTCGCAACGATACACTTTTACAAGATGTGGGCCCTTCAAACGGAGATTAAACGGACTCTTTATGAAAGGAAGCGGCCAGAGCCTAGAAACGACGACCATCCATGGTTTCAAAACATAGAAAAGGCTCTGAGGGATTGGATGGACTCGACGCCAGAAGATCCTCCGTTTGCCAAACCTTGGTAAGCCAACCCGTTTAAATACCTACACTACTTTTTGCTTCAAGTTGGATGTTCTAACTGTAACGGCAGGATCTCTGGACATTACCATCAATTGAGGGCATTGTTGTATAGACCTTCTCCCCAGATTCCGCAGCCTTCAGCTGGTGCAGCTCAAATTTGCTTTGAGTCCTCTGCCACCATCATTGACCTTTCCCACAAGCAGTTTGGAAGCGATCCTGCAGATATGACCTGGGTGTTCCTCCTATCACTAAACTGGTCCCTTAGCACGCTTCTATGGACGATATCGTATGCTGAAGTTCGACGCAATCATCCAAGAGAAGAAGTCGAAGAGCTTGTGAATAAGGCATTGGAATCTTTGGACCGATGCGCAGAGCGTTGGCCGGGGACCACGGTCACGTCTCAACTCTTTACCATATTTGCCAAGGCGTGTATGCAGAGCTACGACGTGCAGGTGAAGCTTGAGAGGGATCACTTTTCTTTTAGCAGCCCACCGGCGACAAGCGAGTCTCAGTCTTCGCCCGAAAGCTACTCTCATTCAAATGCTACCACTCCTCGGCCACTGCCTTATCTCAACCCTCCGCAGTTCGGCTTTGTTTTTGACTCGTCCCCCGAGACAATGAACAACTACGTCTTCGATCCGAATTACCCTCCTCCACAGCCTACTTTCCGTTCAAACTCCATCTTTTGCAATCCTGCCACGGATAATGGCAGCCGACGCTTCTCTTACTTCCCGCCGGATGTCACCCATATGGGAGAGGCTGGCTCAGAAGATCCTTCGTCCCATCCGGCCCAGGTACCGGACCATATACCCCACCATTTGCAATCGCCACCTGAGATATTCCTTCAGGGCAACATACCGACTTCGAGACCGGGCTTATCGCCGTCGGCAATGGCGATGAAGCAAACACCGAATGCTACCCCAATTACGCCGTCACCGCTTTCGACGCAGACCAACATGTCGCCACCTAATAAACGGGTTATTGCGCCGCATGTGGCCCAGGCCCAACCGACATATGCAGCTGCGCGAATGGGAGGGCAACCTATTCACCAGCGACCGCTACCGCCGGCGCCCACGTCCGCATCCGACTGGTTCTCGCCCCCCTCGCAGTTTATGTCGCCATACAATTTTGTAACGTCCGGCAGTGGATATTTTAATGAAGCCATGGCTGGGATGAGCGGGTTTGGCGGCGGCTCACCGGGGCCTAGCGGCTTGGGCCTCCACAACATCACCGCGCAGCTCGAGGCTGGCGGTATGCAGTTTGGCTATTCGCCTGGTAGACAAGGCAGTCTTTCCCAGTCACAGCAGCTAGAGCTCATGGAGGACTTGGAGACGGACGGCGTCAGCGCAATGGATGCGTACCTGCAAGACAACCCGATGAATGGGAGAGGATGGTACTGAGATGTAACTTGTGTATTTCTTCCATTTTTGTCCCATGGTTTTCATTTGTCTTTAACTTGCTTTTCGCTTCGCTTCACCACCATTGACGTTGTCATCATTACGGGAATCTACCGGATACGACTACTTAGACGAATTTCTAGCAAGGGAGTACTGCGTTTTGTGTCGACCTTTTACGTGTGCCAAGTAATGCTGGAAGATCTATTCAGATAAAGAGTTTCAAAGACAGGACTAGGATAGGGAATGTATGAACAGCTTTCATTGCGATCCACATTACATCTATTTGCTACTGAATGAACCCAACAATATCATAGTATTTCGCTGATTTTCTTCTAACAATCGAGAGCCCTGTTCGCATACTGCATTAAGAGACTTGTGACAATTAAACAATTGAGGGGTTTAAAATGAGTGACTAAAGCATGTCTTCCATTAGGTAAACAAAATAAAAACAATAAAAATAGCTTCGTAGACCCATTTCCGTCGTTCCATTCCAGTTTTAAAATAGATCCCGCCAAATCCCCCCCTTCCTTTGCCAACGAAATGTATTATTTCCAAGAAAAGTATTTTTTTTCTTGGAGTATACATTAAATAGTGCCTTTTTTTTTCCTTTTTTTTTTTCGTTGTTTGATTACATTTATTTCTCTGCATCTGTCTTTTTCCAATAAACTCTGCTGCAAACATTGGTTGGCAAGAGCAAACTTTGGAAGCTCAAGAAGAGAGAGAAGAAATAAAGATTTGGGGTATAAATATGCGTCAAGGAGAGTCATAAAATAGTAAGTGCCAAAATCATATGGCCGTTAAAAAAAAAAAAAAAAAAATGTTCGCCCAAGAGAAGGGGCCAACAAATAGGCAGAAAGGGAAAAAAGGTACCCTCGCATTTAGAAGACCAAAAGACCCAAGAGGGCCACAATTAGGAGGCCAAAGTTTTCACTTGGGCGGGAGAGGTCGTTGGAAAGAGGAGGGGGCAAGCTGTTTGTTGGCGAAGGAGGGTTGGCTCCTGTTCCTGATACGCCACCTACGCTGGTATTGCCATTACCAGGAGGACTGCCACCACCACCAACAGGAGGCGATCCGGTAGGCCCAACAACACCACCAGGGGTACCGCTATTGCCGTTTGTTCCAGTTGGCTCAGCACCGCCGCCAGGAGCTCCAGGGTTGCCTGGGTTTGTTGAGCTTGCTCTCTCCAATTGACCGGGAGAAGAAAAGTCTGAGCTGGGGGGTGTGACGCCTGTCGATCGGTTAGTGCCGGTATTGGTAGGAGCTGCTGTCACAGAACCAGTGCCAGAGTTGACACCAGTTCCTGTCACAGAACCAGTGCCAGAGTTGACACCAGTTCCTGTCACAGAACCAGTGCCCGTGTTGGCACCCGTACCTGTCTCGGAACCGGTGCCTGTCCCGGCAGCACTTCCCGTCGGGGTACCAGTACCCGTACCAGCAGAGGTTCCGGTCGAAGAACCAGTGCCAGTCGGAGAGCCGGAGCCAGACGGAGAACCAGTGCCGGTCGAAGAACCACCACCGGAAGGAGAACCGACACCAGAACCGGTGCCAGTCGGGGAATTAGTACCTGTTGAGGGGGGTGCAGTACCAGTCTCCCCTGAGGAGGAGGAGGAGGCTGATGACCCCGGAACAGATGCACCAGATGAGGCCGACGCGGATGCCGAAGTGGGCGCCGACGTTGGCCTCGATTCACTGCTTGCACTAGTGGGTCCCGTACCTATTGCAGAAGAGCTTCCTGGGCTCCCAGTAGTGGAAGATGCTGACGATCCCGCACCAGAAGAGGGCGGTGTTGAAGCAGAGGATGAAGGAGTAGACGATGCTTGCTGCGAAGAAGGCGGGTTTGAAGCAGAGGATGGCGGAGTGGACGATGCCTGCTGAGAAGAGGGCGGCTTTGAAGTAGAGGATGGCGGAGTAGACGATGCTTGCTGCGAAGAGGAGCTGGACGATGAAGATGGCGGCGGCGGAGGCTTCGTTGATGAGGAAGTTGGCGGTGGTGGTGGCGGCTTCGTCGACGATGATGTTGGCGGCGGCGGCGGTGGTGTAGAAGATTTAGAAGAGCTGCTTGTAGGAGGCGGGATGGACGGCTTAGTGGTGGAAGTCTTGGACACTATGGAGCTCGAGGTTGTAGATTGGATGAGCGAGGTTGGGGCTGTAGAGATTTGAGAGCTCGTTCCCAGCGTATTCGACCCTGTCACTTGGGTATCGGGAGCCGATGCTGTGGATGTCGGAGTTGTCGGACTGCAGAGAAAGATGCTTGAATATCGATTATCTACTAGATCCAAAATGTTTTCTATCTGAGTTATGCTGGTGTTGGAGATGTGAAAGGCGTCAGCAACGCAGTTTATGCAATCGTCGAATGCTGACACAAAGTCAGGCAAGTCGCAAAACCCGGGATTTGGGGCACTCGATTGTACGAAGACAAGTGCATTACTACAATCGCCCATGCAAGTTTGTATTGAGGACGGCTCTGATGTCGGGGTCGGCTCTTGGCGTTTTGCACCATAATTGACCTTGCGACGAGCTTGCTGCTCAAACGGACTGGAGCCACGCTTTCCAGGTGACAACGAACCTGTTGGCACCGACCCGTAGGCCTCTGCATGTGGCCCCCAGTTGCCAGTCGTATAAGTGCTGGTGCAGCCAGCCTCAATCTTCTTGACCACGTGGTATTCGAAGATCTCGTAGGTCAAGCCAAAAATGTGTGGATCCAAGTAGAAATAGCCGTCTTGATGTGGTATATAGCCCGTCTTTCCCTTTTGCCAATCTGCAAGCAGCAGTGGTGGAGCTGGGATGCAGTCCGCTGGATTGCATCGAAAATCAGCTTCTGGAAGACCTGGCCAGAAGTTGCACCCATCGGGCTTTGGGGGGTTGCAAACATAGCCAGCCTGGCAGCCAAAGATTCCTTCGGTCTTCAGGTTCAGTGGTCCAGCTTCATAGATTCCTGTTGGCTGTGGGCAGAGAGTGACCTTGAACGGAGCAGGCTCAGAAATCGTTGTGGCGGCCGCTGCCACGTTTCTCAGCTCTAACGGAGCCACCTTCGTCGGCACAAGCTCTCTCTACAAATATTGAATATTAGTGTAAAGCCAAAGACACGACATTGGCTGTGCTATACGGACCACTTCATTATGAGCAAATGCCTTGGCGTCAGGTCGGGCCACTGAAGTGACAGCCCCGACAATTATGCCAATCGATATAGAGGTAAGCGAACGCATCTTCGAGCCAGACTATTCTAGCACAACAGACGAGAAACGAATGCGCCCGTTGGCTATATTTAAACGATGGACGTTAGCCAGACGGCTAGTGATGCACCGAAGCCAGCAGATGGGCCTGGTCAGATGGGGTTGAAAGAATGATTGAAAAACAAACGACGACCAAAGACGCGGCACAAGTTGTGGTGGTGAAGGAGGGAAAGGATGAGCTGCCTTTATTTACCGGCTGCTCTTTATGGAGATACGCAATAGATATGGCGGCTTCTGTGCTTCTAAACGGCGTTGGTGCAATATCACCCCCCTGGCCAACGGGATCCTGGCTAACTTACCCAAGCAGACAGACCACTAACCTGACCAGACCAGACCAGACCAGCGTGGCGTGGGCTTGTGCATGTACTCCGTAAGCCTCACCTCGCTTCACCTGGGCACAAATTGACCGCCTGTCAAGAGCAAGGCTGACTTGCTTGTACAAGCATGGACTAGTAGCAGTAGGCCAGCGAAGGGTTTCCATCTGATAGTAGGCCAAATTGCTCAGAAAAGCGAGCTACCAGACCCTGTCCATGAAAACGACAATCAATGCCTATCCCGGCCATTCTTGGGAAAGCAGAATTGGAGACAACACATGCAAGGTAGAGAGGTGTGCTCGGTGGCTCCACGCAAAAGGTCCATGAACATGGCTGGCCAGGAGATCGGACAAGAGAGAGCCAAAGCCAAGCAAGCAAGCCATTGGATATCCCCTTGTAAAGCAGAACAAGCCCCGTAAGGCCTAGTGTCGGCAGACTGGACCCCAAAAGCTGATTTCGTGGCGCACGGCGGCAAGGATGTGGCCAACGATAGGCCAAGCCGAAAGACGAGTGCCTGAAGGAAGCCGCGAATCCCCTCTCAAACTGGAGACGGGCCACACTCAGCAATCCCATCTTAACAGCTGATTGATAGAAAAGTTCCTCTCAAGCAGCTATGATTTCTGCTAACCGTAACGAGACAACTTATGCGAGCGACAGGGTCCCGACAGCCTGCCAGAGGCTGGGCCAGACACAAGTTGTTGTGGCAATGTCGCCCTCCAAGAGCCTCCAAGCCTTGGCGCGCGAATGGAAAAGAGCCATATCATATCTCAATGTCGCAGCGGGCAAGGATTGCGGCTTGGGAGCCGCACCTAGCGGCCTCACCCGGGGAAATCGATGGCCGGAGCAGGTTCCAATACGAAGTACGACGCACTTACCGGCGAGCACATAGGCCCAACAGTGAAAACGCAGCCCTAGGTAATATAGAGAAAAGGGCCTAGACAGGGCCTGAAGTGATGGGTCTCTCCATGCTCTCCACGATTATGCAGTCCAGCCCAGCATCTGGTGATTGATCCTTCGATCTCATATCTCCCGGCAGAAGCTCGTATCTAGCTTCAACGAGAAGCAACAGCTGCTGAGTTTGTGCCGCTCCGTCGTAGCACTGCATTGAGTCGTATTCGAAATGGGAAGAGGTCGGGAAGGCCCGAGACAGACTGGAGGTCGTGCTCGCTGCGAGGGCCGGCCAACGACAAATTTCAACCACCTAGTACCTATACTGTATACTAGTAGTAGTGATAGGACTGCATGTGCGGGGCGCGCTAGAGGGCTGAAGTGTGCTATTGGTGAGATGCGGGCGTCCGAGTTGGAGGAGCGAGAAGAAAAAAATCTGCTGCTGGAGGCTCTTTCGGGTCGTGGCTAGAGCTGTTGCGAGATGCATTGAAGAGGTGAGGTTGGGACAGGGTTTATTAGCCGATAAACGAGGCTACGGCCGTGAGCTTTCCACAGTTCGGCAGCCTTAGGCTGTTCAGCGCTCTGTTCCCACTGGCTAGCCGGGGAGCTGCCCCAAAGCGGTAGCTCCAAGTCCTGGGCCAAACCCCTCAGCAATCTATTTTGGGCGCGGCGATTGGCGGGCGGCCCCTCTCCAGGCGTTCTTGGCGGCCACTGGGCTGCTGGAGCTGTGCTCAGATTGAGGCTCAATGTCACGTTGAGAAACAGAAGGATGGAGGAAAAATCCCGCTAAAGTCGCTTCTGTCCCTCCAAGACCCCGCCAGGCCTTTACCGTGCGTGTTCTTGTACTGCTGGAGGATTTCACAACCCCTGGCTCGCCTTTCTAGCTCCAGTTCTAGCCCCCCCACGTTAGCTCAATACTCTTTTCGACGTCCCAACTTTGACATGAACCTTTCAACCAACTCTCGCATCAGCAACACCCCTGGCCACTGGCCGCAGCCTCGTGCCATTTTTGCGCTGCCCAGGCACTTTGGTAGTGCCGGTTGAGCTCATGGTCCATCTCTAGTCTGTAGTGGCAACAGGTTGTTTTTCTGATGACTGATCGCTATTACAGCTGCCGTTGTGCCACGAATGACTCGCCCAACTGCGATTCAGGCATCACCACGTTGCACAACACCAAAGCTGCTACCGTCTGCACCTTACCAGCGTGCATATGTGCGAGCAGCGAAGATCCTACAAAACCCACCAGTCCACCCGAGCGGGGCCAGCTGTTTGCGCCAGCCTACTGCGATGCCGAGAGTGGCATCCAAGGGGTGCGAAGAAAAAGAGGGCTTTCTTCAATCATCAGCACACATTTCTCAACTTTACACACCACAATAACACTACATGGAGCAATCCAGCACTTGCTGCTGCCGCTACTACTACTACTGTAGGTTGTTATTGCTGTAACTGCTACTATTGCTATTACTACTACTGCTCCTACTACCACTACTACTGCTACCAAGCTACATGTTCAAGGTCTGATTTAGATAACAGAACTGGGGCTGCCGAATGACTTTCCCTTTGATCAAATAGTGTTTGAGCTTTAAACTTGTGTGTGTGTATTTATTTTGCGGTCCCTTTTCTTCGCACCCCTTGGCATCCTCTTCGCCCTCGGGCTAAGGACGCAACCACACCGCGCCCTGGACTAAAGAGTAACAATGTCCGATGAGTTGTCATCCAGCTTATGACTGCTAGCATGCAGCGAGAAATCCCACGCCATTGTGCTAGGACGACTGCTAGCAGCTTGGGTAAGCAGCTAGGATACTTGGAGAATACTAGAATACTAGTGCTATGCTCATCCCATCCACACTGCCAAATACCACCGAGGAGACTGGTTTTTTTTTCAAAGACCAGGCCATCGGCATTGGAGCGAGGCGAATGGCTTCGGTAAACGTCTCGCAGCCAGCTCATCACGCAATATGGAAGAGTACCTTGAGTACCTACACCTGGACCCATGTTCATGTTTGTCTCCATTCTAGCGTGTCCAGCTCTGGACGATCTCGCTTCCATTTTCGCTGCCATGCTGAAAAATCATACCGTGACTCCCGATACCTGGCCATGTTATGTTTGCTACACATATTTCGCGGCCAACAGTCTTATTGATGGCCAGCGTTACATGGCAGACAATGGGCTTTTACCCTATTGAGCCGTCGGAAATGAGCGGCGAGACACCCAGACACCGAAGCAACCTCAGTTGGGCGGCGAGCAGTGGAAGAGGCTGGCGGCCTGCCCGCCTGATTGATCCTGGCCACTGGCCCTGCAGGCAGGATGCGCCGTTTGCCGTTCGCATCGCCACAGGACATGTCGGTATGCTGCCGGTCTCTCTCGCTTTTGCACTTGTTCCCATCATGTGCGACCCCTGCGGCCCACAGTCTGCCCGCCATCCCAGCATGATCTGGAAGCCTCAGGGCCTCCAGCCAACCGTAGCGAGCCCTTGGCTAGAGTCCCGCCCGGGATACCGCGCCTCCGGGCCTCTCTTAACCCAGCTTTGGCCAGTGGTTCTTCCTCTAGCTTCCTAAAGCCTGCATTGCTGTGCACGTCGCCCATGATCACCTCGTTAATCGTACAGCATCGGGCAGGCACTGTATCTATTGCAGCTTCAGCTCCTGTATGAGTGTCTTGAAAGCGGTGTCCCAGATAGAGTGTCAACAGATACTAGGAATCTGATGCTGCGAGCCTATTAGTCGGCCTTTTCTCCATTACTACACTTGCCTTTACGAGATAACGGCACCAGATTCCCATCTTCCCGCAAATTGCTTCAGCCTTCGTCTCGTCTCGAACTGTCGCCTCAATATCAGCTTTTCCCAGCCTACTTCTTCCAATGGCTTTGTAAATATTGAGGTTATAGCCTTCCTTACAGCATCTACACTCATCACGAGCCATACCATGCTCGCTGTTCTGGCTCATTTCAGCTACTGACGCCTATCTCGCTTTTACCGGCTTTCATAGCCAGCTAAGGAAACATGACACCAAACCATAAGGTCAAGACGATTCTCCAGGCATTCTTTGTGAGCCTTGTTCAGGTCCAGCTCGTTGACGGTGCCGCAACACAAATCAATACAACCATATGTACATGGGAAGCACCCAGAGGTATTATATCACCTACAATCCACAGGCACAAAAAGACTGCTAACGGTGGGCAAGCTGCTATCATTCACGATAAAATATTTCTCGACGGAGGTGACATCTCCTGGCTACCGGGATTGGACGACGGATCGTATGGGCCACCCTCTGGTATTAACAGTACGCACAACATCCATGTTTCGTTATACTGGCCGTCATCTTCATATGCTGACTCACATTTACTAGGCGGCGTATCTGATGTACTACTCACCTACAATCTCAGCTATGCATTTACCTCAAATACCAACGTCACAGGCCTCTTACTGCAAGATCTTTTGTCCAAAGCAGTAGGTGGCACCGGCCAATCTGACATTGGTGCGGTAAGCTATGTCGACGGCGCTCTGCTTGCCAACGACGCCGAATTCTGGTTCTACGGTGGTCAACCAGGAATACAATCCGAAGCCTTGCCGGACAAAAATAGCGTCGATGGATATGAAGACTTCCAGTACGGGTACACATCAAGCAATTTTCATTCTGGATTTGTCTCAAACCGAGAACTACCGGGCAATGTCAGCCAATTCATCACATTTGGTGGTGCAGCAAGAGCTCCGTCTGAGAATCTGGCTTGGTACTTTTCCGGAGCGACCTCTGAGTCCGGCGGGCTGATTCCTAAAAGCTCCAACGCTACTAACCGCCCATCAAAGATATCCAACTACCTCATAACGCTCGACATGTCGGACCAGCGTTTTGAGACATGGAATAATCAGACTTTGCCCCCTAATATCAAGGGCCGCGCAAGCGCCGAAGTAGTCTGGGTCCCTGTTGGTGTGCAAGGTATACTCGTCGCTCTCGGGGGTGTTGTCTTCCCAGAGTATGCCGGCAAGAATCGCGTGTCTCAAAACCCGACAGCCAGTGTAAGAAATGCCTCCAAATGCTCCCCTGTTCAAGTATAACATTCTAATCGCAGTGTATAGGAATCACAAAGCCCGAAATTTATGCAAACTATCGACGTTTACGACGTCGCCAGCAAAACATGGTATACGCAACCAACCACGGGAGGCCCTAGCACACGAGCTCGTGGGTGCGCTGTCGTGGCCACGGCATCTGACAGCTCCAGCTTCAACATCTATTACTATGGCGGGTATGATGGGATTCATGTTACAGAGCCATTCCACGACGACGTCTGGGTTCTTTCTCTTCCATCTTTTACGTGGACGCAGATCAACAATGGCACGGAAACTCACGCGCGGGCGGGACACAAATGCTTTACTCCCTATCCTGACCAACTCATGGTATTTGGTGGCTATCCGCCGCTCACTGGGACTCTCTCAAAGCCAAACTGTTTAGAGGTTGGGCCTGTTGTTATTTTCAATTTGACCAGCGGGGAATGGATGGACTCTTATGATCCTACCAAGTACGGCGACTATGGTGTCCCCGAGAAAGTCCAGGCTATCATTGGAGGCAATGCGTCCGGCGGTGCAACTGCCACAAAGCCGACCCCTTCTGGCTGGGCATCTCCAGCTCTTGGCAAAGTATTCGCTACCCCTTACGATCAAAAGAAGATTGCATCATACTGGCCTTATCCGGCGGCTCAAACGGCCAATCCAACAGAGCCGGCTCCAAAGCCAGCATCTAAATCCAGTGGATTACCATCATGGGTAGGGCCGGTTCTAGGCGTCATTCTGGGTCTTATTGCGCTCACCTGTATCATTGTCTTGTTCTGCCTTTGGAGACGGCGCAAGAGTCTTAAGAACCGGTCCAGCACGAATACCAGTGAAGAAGCTGGCCTGAGGATCCTCTCGTGGATCCGAGGACAGCCTCATTCCCACAAGGCCGCCACCGAGACAACGGAAGAAGTACCTACAAGCCCAGAGATGCGAGAATATCTACATCCTAGTTACACCCCGTCAGGTTCTGCATCAGTTCCTCCCCTGCATCATGAAATGGATGATACGCAGTTGGTGGAACTTCGTAAGTACCCAGCACATATATATTCCTTTCTCAAAGTAATATGGCTAACCAAGTGGCTTCTTCTTGTACAGCTGATAATACCAGGGTTGAGCTTCAAGATACGGGGTTATCGCCAATGGACGTTCGTGAGCGTTATTCTCATTGGTTCCCAGGTGGCAGCACCAGCGACGCCTTGCCAAGCCCCACCAGAAGCTCTCTCCAAAGCACATCTAATATCATCTCCCCGCTGAATAAGGATCGGAACAGTGACGTATCGCATCTTGCTGGATCTAGTGGTCTTCCTTCGCCTCCATTACCTGAAGCCGACGAGAGCGACAGGAAGTCTCTAATAGCTACCCCCGAGACAGCAATCACACCCTCGGGAGAGAAGCAAGGCGACTCAGCAAGGACGTCGGAGGGTCATGAGTTTGTTGTTTCACCTCCAACTGCAGAAGAAAACCCAGGAGACGACTATTTAACAGCCAAGAAACCTTCGTCTTCGGGTAGCCCAACAACCAGAAAAAGCGTGTTCCAGGAGCACAATGATGATTGATGACCCGAACTGAATAGCAACACGGCTTGGCATTGGCGTTTGAGTGGATGGACAATTTTTGGTGGTTTTTTTTATATTAATTTTGTTCATATAAAGCTCGTTCTTATGTTTCTCAGATTCCAAAACCCTTTATATAGGACTGTATACCCGCCCATTTTTAATGAAATATATATAGTGCAGCTATGCACTATCCAAACTCTGTGTATCCTAGTCTAAAGCTATGAGGCCCATGTACATCTAGAAACAGGGTCAAAGAAGACAACGAGTAATAGATTGCTGCCCCCCTCCCTGCGTGACCTTTTCGTCTTCTTTTTTCTTTTTAACTGACTTTTTTTCCCTCCATTTCATTCCGCCTTTCCTTTTCTTTTAAACTTCGACCAGCTCTTCATCCTCATCCTCTTCAATCTCCTTTACGCGCTCCTCTGCCTTTTCCAGTGCGTCTTCCGTTGCTTCATCTCTCATAAGAACTTGTACTAGTCTATCGCATGCTTCTTGTACGCCCTCATCATTCACTCTCCTGTGCGTCTCTCGAATAATGGGATACACGTTGATTTTTCTCATCAACTCACGGCCTTCCAGCGTGGTCGTCAACAGCGTCAATGTTTCCACATGGGTCTGGATATTGGCCGTGTCCGAGTCACGCTTCTTGTCCGGCGGGAGAAGCTGCAGATCGGGCAACATCTCCATCGTCTCGTCCACGTCGTACTCCTCGTTGCCGGTAATGGGCAGGAGGATATACGGCAGGATGTTGATGTCTGACTCGGACAGGAAAGACGGGTGGGCGGGGATCTCAAAGGCGGCGTTCTTGATGGTGTTTGCGACGCCCTTCCTTCGAATGTCGGACTTGTGCTCTGTGAAGACCTTGAGCTTGGTCAGGGGGATGACGCCGTCGTAGGGCTGGGATGTGAGGAAGTACTGGCGGATTTCCGTGTGTTTGGCGAGGTCGGCGAAGACATAGGCGAGGTAGTCGTAGTCTGCTTTCTTGTTGTATGCGCCGTCTTGGCCCTTGACGAAGAGGTCCATGAGCTGGTTGAGGACGTTGTCATCTGAGCCGAGCTGTGAGGGGGCCTCTTGCTTTCGCTGGAGGAAGGCTTTTGAGCCGTCGTATTTGGAGAGGTTGGCGAGGAGCATGGCCAGTAGATCGGCATTTGGCTCCTCAGGGTACTATTTTATAAGACGGCTTGTTATTGAGGTGATCTAATAGGTAAGGATGAATAGCATAGTGAGACTTACGACCAAATGTGAGAATACCATCTCCAAAAACTTCTCATCTGTTGCTACAAACTCCAAGACGGCTGGGTCCTCGGTCAAGTTGATGAGAATATTCAAAGCATGTTCGGCAATTTTCTATTAGTAAAAAGAGAATTAATTACTTTTGTATAACAGAAATGGATATCCCCATATAGAAGAAATGAAGCCCTCATGGCAGAGCTAGTTCAGATGAGTAGCAGCACCTACCTCATGATCCCGAACGAGGAATTTCAGATGCTTCACTGGTTTGAGCTCTTCAGTCTTGAAGATGGCTGGGTCAGACAGAGAGTAGGGAACCAGGTTCTCTGTCGCGACAGCTCTGATCTGGGGGTTTGGATGGGCGATGAAGCCAACGAGCTGGGGCACATGTTAGCGATCTCTGTTTTACATGAGATACAATTATTATTTTTTGGAGAGGTGGATATACTTCTTCTAGTTCTGTCGGCATGGCGCCCTGGATTTATCTCGACAATTCTTGAAAATGAAAATTACAGTATTGAAATGGGGTATATGAGTGTGAGTCGTGGGCTTGAAAGAATGGCTCTTATTGTGAAATATTTTGGAGGGGCAGCTTTTGATGGATTTTGATAATAGTGGGGTGGAAAAAGAAAGCCTTGGAACGACGTCAAGGTTGGACGACTAAACCGTTTTGGGCAGCAGGAGTTCCAATAAGACGAGAAGCAGCTGTAAGTTGATCAGTTTTCGACATTGAATCTCATGCGAATAAATGTATTTTTTTTCTTTAAACTTACTATATAATACCTATATAGTTACTATGGACACAAAAATGCTTCCTTTTGGCATTTCGATAACCAAACATGGCTCATTGACCTGGTGAATGTGCTACTACTGCAATACGCCATGCCAGCGAATGCACAATCTTCTCAGAGCACTTAACATCTCAAAGACTCTAGTTATCACCTAAATAATCTATTACTAAATCATCAAAACTAAAAAGAAAGGTTCTGATTCTTATTATTTTCCAAAGATGATAGCTCATCACTCCAGCTGCAATCGCCAGGGTCCAAAGGCGGTGAAGCGCAAGCAGCGCACTTAGCCTTGGCACGCTAAGCCTTATTCGACGAGAGGGGTGGCAGATCGATAAGACACAAATTTTTGATTTTCTGCCCACCAAGTAAGAGTCGTCTGGCCCGGCGCAAGAATTCGCACTCCAATACCCAACGTTAGATACAACACCAGAAATTCGATATGCCCAAGGCAACGACTCCTACCGCCTCGCGCCCTGGGCGGCGCCACAACCCTCTGGAAGATGATGTTCTGGCGACTGGCATCCTGCGCAACAAGCCTACCAAGAGAAAGTCCAAGGAGGCTGGAGAATCCGAGGACAATTTCGTTGATTCTAAAGCCTCGAAGAACATTTTGCGGATAGGTCGCGAGCTGATGGAAGAGGAAAACGCTGAGCGACCAACAGTTAAGCCCACGGTGGACAATTTTGGTTACGGTTCAAGATTTGGCGAGGAAGAGGAAGAGCACAAGACATATGATGACGACGAGGCCTGGGGGGATGATGATGTCGAGGTTGAGGACGTCGAGGTTGATCCTGAAGACCTTGATACATACAGAAAATTCATGGGAGGCGAAGAGGAGGATGACCTGTTGAAACACGGCTGGGATCTCAAGGGTTCTGGTGAGCCTCAGGGAGAGTCTGTCAACTTGGCCGATCTCATCCTAGAGAAGATTGCTGCCCATGAAGCGGCAAAGGCTGGCGGAGGCCATGTTCGCGCTCCCGACGACGAATACGAACTCCCTCCCAAGGTCGTAGAGGTATACACCAAGTAAGTCTTGCCGTTTCTCGAAACACCTCCGCCGGACGATTGTGAATCAGGCGCTAACAAACCCCCAGGATTGGCGAAATCCTCTCTCGCTACAAGTCCGGACCGCTTCCCAAGCCCTTCAAAATTCTTCCAACTATTCCCCACTGGGAGGAGATTATCGATATCACCAAGCCCGAGAACTGGACTACCAACGCCTGCTACCAGGCGACCAGAATATTCGTCTCTGCCAAGCCTGGCGTAGTCCAGCGATTCCTCGAGATGGTTATTCTGGAGAGGGTGCGCGAGGACATCTACGACACGAAGAAGCTCAATGTCCACTTATTCAACTCCCTCAAGAAGGGACTTTACAAGCCCGCCGCTTTCTTCAAGGGCTTCCTGTTTCCCCTGATTGGCAGCGGCACCTGCACTCTTCGAGAGGCACACATCATTTCAGCTGTCCTGGCGCGAGTCTCCATCCCAGTGCTGCACTCTGCCGCAGCCATCAAAGGTCTCTGCGACATTGCCGCTCAGGAGGCTTCTCAGGGTAGCGAAGGCGGTGGAGCGACCAACATCTTCATCAAGACTCTGTTAGAGAAGAAATACGCCCTTCCTTACCAGGCCATCGATGCTCTGGTCTTCCATTTTCTGAGATTCCGTGCCGAAGACCCTGCCTCTGCCAGAGCCGGTGATACCATGACCGTTGTCATGAGCGGATCAGATTACAAGGCCAAGCTGCCCGTTATCTGGCACCAGAGCTTACTGGCCTTTGCGCAGAGATACAAGGGCGATATCACGGAGGATCAGCGTGAGGCACTTCTGGATCTGCTGTTGACGCACGGTCACTCCGCTATTGGTCCTGAAGTCAGACGAGAACTGCTGGCCGGACGAGGTCGCGGAGTGCCTCTGGAGCCCCAAGGTATGGCTTTGGATGGCGACGATACAATGGAAATGGATGCATGAACGCTCTAAAAAGTAGACAGCAGCGTTTGATAGGAACATGCATGGCGTTTCGGCGTAATTGGATTTGCGAAGCTATTATAATGGATATTTGAGCTATGAGGACAGACGCTTTGAGTCTCACGAGACGTGTCTTGTGCGGCTATCAAGGATTTTTACACAATGTTGAACGAAATAAAAAGTTATATCCTAGCAATAAATCATCTCTCAGCGATAAGATACTGCGGAGTATCAAACTTCTGCTCCTTGTGGCAACAACCGGAGTATGCGCCTTCCATCAATCTTGTGTGATTTTCAAGTATACACAGATAGAAATGGCCACGACTGTTTGCAAAACGCTTCCCACCCACATCAATATTCCTACTAACATTCGTTACGTGACTCATTAATCCTAATACAACAATTTTGCCCTGAGAAGAGTTATCCGATCTTCCTCCTTCTTTTCTCTTCAGCTCTTCTACTTCTTTTACAGCCAATTATTTCATGATCCACTTTACTCTCTAGGCTTGCATTCGACCCTAGAAGCAATTCTCTTCTTGTTTCATAAGTTTGTTTCTGTAACTGATTTCGTCTCTTTGCATTTATTGGTCGCCAATCTTGTCGCATTAGGCATCGAACATGTCCGAAGACAGATACGCGAAGAACTCGACAGCGCGCCGTACATCGACTAGTCAGGATGCCAAGTGCGCTCCATCCACACAGATAGATCGCCATGACCATTAAATCAGATTTCTAATCATGTTTCGCAGCTATTTCAATCTTTCAGTCCCTCGACCCGGTCCGCCGTTCCTATTCCTCACGTTTGCGACACCCTCTCACACTTCCCACGAGCCTCCTCGATCTACCCCCTGGGAGAGAGCTATGCAAGACGGCGCATTTACAAACTCAACTTCCCCAACAGGCTCAGGAGTTGATAGACAGAGGGCTGATTCCTTGTCTGCTCCTAACCTGAAATTTGGAGTCGATCCGCCACGGCCGCCTCGCGAGGGATACGAGTAGGTCTGGTTTCCGGAGGGGTATTGGGCGGAGAGACAAGTGGCAGCAAACGCTCCTCGCAGGAGTAATGCCAGCTCCAACGCTCGCTTTTAGAAGTGGCGCTCGCGATCAACCAAATCTGCAAGTGAGACGGACGCGCTGCATAACGGGCTATATGCATCCCGGCTCAACTCCATGTCTGGCCCGCGATCGAGATACGAGCCACCTAGACACGATCTCCCAGCCATTCAGCAAGTATGGACGCCATACTTGTCCGAGTCTGACCATGTTTTCTCACTGCAACACCCCACAGAGCCCGTTTCCCCAGCCGCTGTTGCGATGACCCCGTCGAGATCCCAACAGTCAAGTGAAAGCATTGTGGTCTCGCCTAGCTCAAAGAGCCACCGCTTGGTTAATGTCCCCGAAAATCCTTCGCCTGAGAGCATTGCCCATTCATTTCTAAAAACAGGGCCCCCAACAACCCCGTTATTATCACCTAGGGTCTTGTATATGAGGGCTAAGAAGGAAATCGAGTCCAAAGTCAAGCAAAAACACCATGATGACTTGCATATCCATCAGCCCACAGCCATCGGTATTCGTCCTGATATTGAATATTCAACAAAGTCTTCTTGCAGCGAACTGACTTTCGAAGAAGATCGTCAGACGCGAGCAACAGTTGAAGGCACCAGAAAATTTCTCGCTGCTCAAAACATCAGCAGGTCAGGAACGTGGTTCAAAGATGAGCTCCACACATCCAGGATTGGCCGCAAGCTTTTTGGCAGAGCACCGTGGCATCGGAAGGAATCTGCCGACTCATTCACGAGTGTTTCCAGCTCCATACGAGCAGTTCTCAAGGGCAAGACACCGCCTGCGACTCCTGCAAACCATGGCTTAAGCTATACAAGTACGTAAACACAGTCTTCCTTTATATCAATGAGTGTCATTTGTAGAAACTGATTGGCAAACTAGCAGGTAGTTGTTTATTAACCAGCCCATTCCCCGGAGGAGTAAGTGAGCCCCTAGCTTTGTTCACCTTCCTAACGTTCCGCCAGAGTTGTCATCAGCTCATTCTTCATAGGAGGCCGTTCGGGTGAGCACACCACCAATGGACGAAGATACGGCAGATGGCAAGCCACGTGCTTTCTTCACATCTTTGACGCCCCCTATGCCAGACGGCGAAGCCAACACAAAAACAGCACCATCGTCAGTACGCTCTACGAAACGCTATAGTGCCCATAGTAGTAGTAGTATGGTACCTCAACCCCGTGAGTGGTGGGAGCAGGTACCTCAGCGAGGAGGTCGCCGCGATCTGCTGAATCCCAACACCAATTCCGCCAATAGATTCGAATTTGACGTCCCAGAGCATTTGCCTAGGAGTCCAATGTGCCCGGCCAATAGACGTCACAAAAGCGGCGGCGCAGGCGTGTGTGTATATCATGGCCGGAGGAGAGCTGGGTCTATACTCGAAACAAAATAAGCAAGGTGAAAGCTAGTAATTCACGCGATAGCAAGTTGATGATTGAATTTAGCCATATCTAATACTTGAATGCATCTTTCTCAGCGCAATATCTGTCTATCAAAGATTTATGTTTCCTATATCATCCTGCCGCTTAGAACACAAAGTCGACCCAAACCGTTCAATTAATTCAATTAAGGTTATCCCATTTAATTAAGGGGGAGGTTATCCAGCACCCCATTTCTGTTATCCAACCCTCCAGCTTAGGCGTGGGCTGCTGCCAGTATTATTGCTATTGCTGCTGCTACTACTGCTAACTGCTATTATTACTGCTACTGCTGCTACTGCTGCTACTGCTGCTACTGCTGCTACTGCTGCTACTGTTGCTATTTTTAAATATATAACATTTAGCAGGTATGCACATGTATCTAATATATGGAATAGCTGCCTTGTTACGCTACAGCTGGGGTGTTGGATAATGAGATTTGGGTGCTGAAACCCGTCTCCCTTAATTGAAGTCGTCATGCTTAATTAAGGTCATCCATCCAGCAGCTTATAATGCTGCTGCCTAAAGAACAAGGCATATATTTCAGCCTTACAACAGCACTATAGCTCTCTATAAGGCGCTGTAATTTTAGTAAATACCATCTCTATTTATACTGTGTATGCACTGTATAATTCTTCACTTGTCAATTCCAAGTCTATCTAAGGTGCCACCGTACAGCGGCGCTAAATTAACGCGCCAGCGGGAAAACGCGCCACGCGTGTTCAAATCAATTAACAAGTCTAGGTTAACCAACCTCCATTCTCAAATCGCTGCGAGGAGGCCGGTCGATGTTTCAAGCTTTTCGACGCCGGAAGCAGTCAAAAACGCAATGTTCTGTCTTGTCTGATTTATAAACGTATAGCCGTCAGAGCTGTATAGTTTTAAAGCGTTTTTAAGCGTTCTTTGCCGTCGCAGGCCGAACAATGGATCTCGATACTCCCAGCAATCGGAAGCGAAGCCTCGACGAAGATGAAATAACCATAGCGCCAACAAGCGCTTTCAAGAAGCGCAAGGTCGACGAGGAGAATGCAGATGTGCCTTCGGCGCAGGGAGCCCTGAGCTCCTTCACCTCGGCGATATCGAGCGTCTTTGGATACGGCAGTAAAAAGGCTTCAGAGGCCCTGAACGAAGGCGTCGAGAAGGGCGCCTCCCTGCCAAAACCACCATCACAACCGTTGTCTGCGACGTCACCGAACAAGGCTCGACCAGCAATCAAGCTGGCAGCTCTACTGGGATCAAAATGGGATACAGGAGAGGGGGATCGAGCATCATCACCGAAGAAGGGGAGAGGAGGCAGGCGCAAAGTGGTGACTGAGCCAGATAACAGCTCGGCAACAGACCCAGGACCTACTCCAAGCAGAGGCAGAGGCAGGGGGAGGGGAAGGGGAAGAGGCAGCAGAGGCGGTAGAGGAGGCAGAGGCAGAGGTGGAGCAAGAAGCAGTTTCGGAAAAGAAGAAGACGAGGAAAATGTTGATGTCACCGTGGAAGAAGAGAGGCCACAAGCCGTCGCCGTGTCTCACGAATTACCTTCAACGGTGCGCTCGATCAGGCGCCTCGATTTTATTCCTCTCTCCAATGGCGTCATTGATAATACTGCGGACGAACTTTCGACAAGCGAATACCCTTCCATGAGCCCTCTGAAAAGCCGAAGCCTCAACCTAAACGAACGGCTGGCTGAATCGACTAGTACTGGAACCACGCCGAAGAGTATCCTATCGCCATCCAAGAGCAGAGGGCCTCGGCCCCAGAAGAATGTGTCTTTCAATAATAAGGGTGGCGATGACGAAGCCACCACTGAAGTTTTCTTCGAAGATCTACCAAAAGAGCCGGTTGTGAAAAAGAAGCCTGGCCGAAAACCTAAGAATGCCCAGCCTGTTGTTGTTGCTACAGATGAAATTGTCTGTGGCGTATGCTCCAGGCCCGACTCACAGGCGCCCAACGAGATTATTTTGTGCGACAACTGCGACTTTGCAGTTCATCAAATGTGCTATGGCGTGCGGGAGATCCCCGTCGGCGATTGGCTCTGCAATTCGTGTGCACAAGAAGACGCGCTGGGCATAGCCAAGAAACCCACTGAGGAGGAGGCACTTGAGGCAGCTGCCGATACAACCCTTACGTCTACACCTGCTATTGAAGTACCGGATATTCCTAATCTAGACCATCATCTGCGCGCCCTTCAGAGAGTCCTCCTGGATCGATGCAACGGCCGCAGGTCGATTCGAATGTTTGGCCAGCAGGATCAGTATGAGAAAGCGCACCAGCTCATCGAGCAAACTGTTGTGGCGGGCGAGGGGAATTCTATGCTCCTTATTGGGCCCAGAGGGTGTGGCAAAACAACGGTATGCATAAATATCTAGTATACTGAGGTATGCCATTCTTATTAACGGCTATCCAGATGATCAACAACATCATTAAAGACCTTTCGCGAGAGCATCGACAAGATTTTCATATTGTGAGGCTAAACGGGTTCATTCACACAGATGACAAATTAGCACTGAAGGAAATCTGGCGGCAGCTTGGAAAGGAAATGCAGGTCGATGACGACTTGCTGAGTCGGGTAAGCATGAAATCTCGGATCTATTTTCCCAACCATAGCTCCTACTTTTTGCTAACAGTTGCTCTCTCCACAGTCCAATTATGCAGATACCATGGCATCTTTATTAGCACTGCTGTCTCATCCTTCTGAGATCCTAGGACAAGACGAAGGCTTCACCTCACAGTCTGTCATATTCATCATTGACGAATTCGACCTATTTGCGACTCATCCTCGACAGACGCTCTTGTATAACCTGTTTGACATTGCGCAGTCTCGAAAGGCGCCAATTACAGTTCTGGGCTGCACGGCCCGCCTTGACGTGGTAGAGATGCTAGAGAAGAGAGTTAAGAGCCGATTCAGCCACCGATATATCTACTTGTCGCTTCCCAAGAACCTAGCGGCTTACTGGCAAGTTTGCCGACAGGGGTTGATGCTCGGAGATGTTGAGCCGGAGGAAGAGGGCCTGGACCGGAGGATTGATGGGTTTCCCGAGTTCCAGGCGTATTGGGATCACAAGATTGAGGTTAGTGTTCCTGTTCTCCATAGATAAAAATCCCCGGTATTCTAACAACGGCTTGGTGTGCAGGATCTTTACAAACAACGGGCATTTCAGGATCTGCTGCAGTATCACTACTACACAACCAAGTCACCGTCGGCATTCTATAATGAGTGGATCTTGCCGCTTTCATGGGTCACAGCGGGCAATCCAAATCTCAAGATACCGGCCGTCGGGTCAAACTTGACGTCTCTAACAGCGCCGGATTCCCGACTGCACTTGCTATCAACGCTATCAGATCTCGACCTCGGGCTATTGATTGCGGCGGCACGGCTTGATATTGTCGCCGACACGGACACAGTCAACTTTGCCATGGCGTACGATGAGTATAGCGCTCTTGCGGGACGACAGCGTGTGCAATCGGCTACGGCGGGCATGCTGGCTCAGGGCGGCAACGCGAGAGTCTGGAGTCGCGGCGTGGCGGCTGTGGCGTGGGAGAGACTTGTTACCCTCGGTCTGTTGGTTCCGGCTGGCGTGGGCGCTGGCAGCAGGAGTCAAGGGCATGGAGGGCTGGAGGCAAAGATGTGGAGAGTGGATGTCGCTCTGGAGGAGATTCCAGCTGTCACGAAGCTGAGCACGGTTTTGGCGAAATGGTGTAAGGAAATATGATTTCATGTTTTTTTAACATTTTTCTTGCGCTTTTCTTGCTTGTTTTGCGACTTGAGCACTATTATGAGGGGGACTTCCTTTTCCTGGTCTATTGAGAGTTTAAAGGCATAAGCATGTACGAATGAAATATCACGACACCCATATATCATAGACTGTTGGGGGAAAGGCTGGAATGGAACGGGCCGTCCCATATCGAGGAAACACGCAAAGGCAGGTAGTGCTGCTACTAGACACGTTAATTCTACGATTATTACTACTAGAATCGATGATCACCACCGTTATTGCTATGATTATGACTGGATGATTACCACTAGGTGCTGGTGGCAGGTTCTGCCACACTCACATGCAACACATATCGACAAACTTAGGATGACGGGGCATAACCGGAGCAACATGGCATCTCTCGGCCGAGTAATCACCAAAGTAAGTTCAAGACCGGGGACCGTCCCCTGTGCCCCTGCCACTATATATCGAACCATCAAGCAAAATGCAGAAAGATGTGCCGTCGCTTGCATCTCTACTGCATGATTATACAGCGAATCACACCCGCCATATTTTTTCCCAGTCAATAACATGCCGGGGCCGACTTTCTTCTGTTATCCTGTCTCTATTGGTGTATATGCACCGCACGGACTTGTCAGTCGGACAAACTAATGTGCCCATTTACCCGACTTCAAATGAGAAAAGGTGGTCAAAGAAAGAATTTAAGGTTGAATTAACGCCGCTGCACCGTGTTTATTCGAACAAAAGCCGAGTGGGGCTTATGGGTTTTAATTCGCTGATATACGAGATGGAATGGTAATTTTCGCATGAAATTGATGTTTTGTCAAGAGGCTGTGGAGCAAACAATAGGAGGATTTTATCGAGTTGGAGCGAAGCGGCTTTGATGATGCGCCGTCGGGCTAAATGATGTTTTTTCCGTGGTTCTGTTCCTTTTTTTGTCTGGTTTGGGTTTAGGGATCGGATATCGAGAGCGTATTGGCCGACAGCCGAAGCTAAATGCTTTTATGTATTAATGGGGAGTTGCAAAAAGGCAGTATTTCCAGATTCAGCATTTGTTTATCATCTGTCATTTTATTGTCCTTGTTGAATTTTGTTGAGAGCATCTATCGATGGCAGGGGAGTAGGTAAGAGCCAGTTATCAGGCCGTTAGGATGAACTTGGACGCCGAGTTTTTGAACGCGGGCGATGAATGTTACCGTTATGCTGGATGCCTTATACCAAGTACTAGTGTGGCCAAAGCGAATTACCTTTAATGGAATATTCATATTTCACGTCCCTGTCAGAAGCGTAAATTTTGTATCATTAGAGAGAGAAAAAAACACAGTCATGTATGCATCCTATCGGACTAGCCGCACATCTTGTCGGATACTTTCACCCGACAATTCGGTGCAACGCAATCTATGAACTTCCAAAAGAGGCATTTCGTATACAGCCAGCACCTACTATTCGGAGGATGTGTCGCCTAGAACGGTAAACGCTCAAGCAGAGTAGTATTCATACAACGACATCTTTCTTTCGGCTTTGCGAAGAGAAAAGCGGTGTTGAAAAAACCGAAGCCTTCCTTTCACGAGCTCGCACCGCAGCACCCGCAGCATCCGCAGTTTCGGTAATACTACGGTGACAGCTTCCTGGGCCCTTGACAGATGCAGAGATAAGATAAAGCAACCTGCAGCCCATTTCGAAATGGAGCAATAAGCGGAAGTTGTTCGCATCAGCGGAAGTTTTTTTCTTACAAGAGCAGGGACAAGAGAAGCTTATTAGCTCAGCCTTGTGAACTACAGGTAGGCAAAGAGGTTAGCACGTGAAATCGAGTAAGCCAGCGTGTGGCGCCTGGAAAAGAAGAAGAAGCACAGCCTCGATTGGCAGGCAAAGACAAAAATAAACCCGCCACGAATTCTAAGAATAAACTGCGATTGAGTAAGGTGCCGGCTGCGTAGCCTGGTCGCTGACTAAGGAGTGTTAGCCTGTTTCAAGAAATGGATGAACGAGAAGAGAGATTGAGAGTTGGAGATGCCTATCAGGGGAGCAGGCACCCTGGCTGCAGAATATCAATTCGTGTTGATTTGCCTAAACAAACGTGCAGTAATACTCATTGCTAACCACTGGAATGCTATCAGTGTAATACAAGAATACAAGCGATTCGCGTTGAGAAGCGCAAGATAGCTACCAGTAGTACGTACCGCAGCTCCATTCACGTGTCCCCACATCCCGGGCCACATGCAGCGTCTCTCGTCCGGCTGCTCCACCAACCGCCTCGCTTCGTCACAAGCAGAAACAGCCGCAACGTCTCATCCTAGACCCCGTTGGAGTGGGATTCGGTGATTTGTGACATAACCACGCTCCTCGTACTTACGACAAGCTCGACTGCCTCGATACGATCCCATGCGATCTTGCCGCCGTTGAACACCCAGCAGACGCCAACCATTACATGGCTCTAGCACGCCAACGAGCACATTGCTTCTGAACAAGCCCATGCCAGCCGCCTCGCCTTCTCTTCCACTTCCCTGCTCTCGTGCCAAGCGTCAAAGCGTCTTCGACCAACAAGCTGTCAATTAAGAATACATACGTCTACGCTACGCCAATACGCACGCTCACAGACCGACCTGCATAGCGCGCTTGTTGGCTCCCTTTGCTACCCGCCCAGGCCAACCAGGTTCGGGGCTGACACCTGTCAGCACAAAGGCGAAGGCGCGCTGCTCGGATCCGTCTAAACGGGCCCTTCGTCTCTTTCTCCGTTGTGGTTTCAAACCAATCTCCGGCGGCTGTCCCAGGCTTACGGGTTCGCGGTTATAGGCTAGCGCTGCTGCTATAACTGGCCGCATTAAGCCATATTACATATTACACAGCAAAGCGCCAATCGACCTTTATTTACTCTTCCCTGTCTTTCATCATTTTGGGCGCCAAGTTTACTCTTGATATTCTCCCTTTTCCCCGTTCCTGGTTTTTCAGGCTGGTTGGAGAATCCCTTTGCTGTCGCTCTTTGCCTGTTTAGCGGAATCCCTTGCTTCATCTCTGAAACGGCGGCTAAGCCTCCCTCTACCACTCAAACGCCCCGCGCCTTAGGCTCGTGATATCAGACGTAAGACCGCTGTATCAGCCGCACAGTCTATATAGTGGCAACGCCAACTTAAAACCCACTTAGCACAGCCTTTTCTTTTCTTTCTTTTTTTTGTTTCGCGAGAAGAAACATTTTCAGCATAAACGTCAGTCACCAAAGGGTTTACGAGAAGAAGAGTCTAGAGAGTAGAAGGGAAAGCGGGAGAGAAGCCCATACAGACAGAAACCGTCAAAGCCGGCCAACATGTCGAAACGAACAGTCTTTACGTCCATCACTCCCCTTCCTCCGGGCATCTCTCGACAAGCCGCCATCGACTTCCTCCACAACCACCGCGACATGATCGATCTGAATCCCTTGGTCACCGATCGCCACATCATTCCTCCTCCTTCTCACGCTCTGCCGGAAGAGCACGTCTGCACCTGGTACTCCATCACCGACAAAATCTCCTACCTTCCCGGCGGCCTTGTTACGGGCGCAGTCTCGTACACTGCAGCTTTTCACGACCTACCAACGGGTCTGCAGACTCACTGCCATGCACCCATGGGCGTCGATCTCCGCGAGAAGTGGTCTGTTGCTGGATCTGAGCCTGGGGAAGATCCAGAGCCGATGGAGCTTGGCTTGGGAGCGCCGCGGACGGGGTTATACATTCGAGAGGATGTCATTATAACATGCAATATGGTTATGGCAGGCTTCATCAAGAAGACGATTAAGAAGGCTCACGGCGTATTAATCGATGCCATAGCCTTGAAGGCTGCCGGCTCAAATCCCTTACTACAGGCGTCACATACGCAGGAGCGACAGCAGCAAGCTTTGCCGCCGCTGATTCAAAATAAGCTGCTGACAAAACCACTACCCGCACGGCCAATCTCATGGCAAGCACCACCACCACGACCAGCCCCAGCATCCCTGACGACGAATACCTACCAGACAGCGACCTACCAGACAGATACCTATCAAACAGACACTTATCAAAGGGAACCCTATCAGACAGAACCATATCAGACAGAGGTCTATCAGTATGAGACCGGAGGAATGGACAGAGGGCCGCACTACGGATACGTAGAGGACCGGATGGGACCCCGCACAATGACGACAAAGTACGCTTAGGAGCTGGAGTCATGATACCCATCGGATTTATATCCCGGCATATCAATCTCTTTTATCCATATTTTTTGTTTTTTGAAAGGTTGTTATAATATCTGGGACATAGTTACCCACTAGAGTCTTTCATTTCATGTGCTGGATAACATGATGCATCTGAATGCGATTGGAAAGCGATGCGGGTTGTGTTTTTTAGTTCTTGTTTAAACGGCACATTTCGTTGGATAATATGCGTGGCGTTGGTAGGGAAAAAGACGGGTCTCCTCAGCGAAAGTAACTGAGAAGCATCTCAAGCTTCTTTGTGAGGAGAAGGATATAATTTAAAGGAGCAGACATCACTAGCGAGAGTTATACCAAGAATTTAATATTCAAGACAAAGATTTTAACAAATTCAAATCAATTAATTTCAAAAACTAAAGATTAAGGAAAAAGGTCTTCACACACACACAAACAGCTCCCACATTGATGCCCTTCTATGCTGTAATTAAAAAATGGCGCTCAAGTACCACACCGTGATATGAAGCAAGCCGAAAGTATAGAAAAATAAAAAGATCTATCCCCAGAAGAAGAACAAAACCCCAAAACCCCCCCAAATCTCCCCAAATCTCCCCAGCTAAAAAAGGGTCAACATAGAAGCATAAAAACTTCCTTTCCAAGCCATGTGTATTCCTTTGTTGTTTCATCCTCGTCATATCCATCTCCATCGTCAACCAGCCTTTCCTAGCAGGAGCTGTTGTGTGAAGTCTAGCAGATGATAGTATCCTCTTACAGAGCGAGGACACCGACGATGAGAGCGCCGAAGACGGCGGCACCGACGTGGACAAAGGAGCTGGAAGCACCGCTGACAATGACGGGAGGGGGCTTGGGGTGGCCGGTGGGAGCGGGGTAAGCTTCGGTCTCGCTGTGAGGAGGATAAGCTGGCTCGCTGTGAGAAGGGTAGGCTGGCTCGCTGTGGGGAGGGTAGACGGGTTCGCTGTGAGGAGGAGGGACCTTGGCGGTCTCGGAAGGGCAAGGCTATGTGATGTAATGTCAGTAATTTCCTTCTGTAATGCAAGAGTTGGGTATGTATTGTTCATAGCTTACCTCGACAACGGTGCAGGGGCAGTCGGTGATGGTCAGGGTGGTGGCCTTTGTGACGGTGTAGTGCTTCTCGTTGACCGTCACGACGGTGGGCTCCGGGCAGTAGGTGGTGTACTGCGAGACAATCTTGGTGGTGGTGGTGGCCTTTTCCCAGCTCTTGGAGTACTCCGTCTTGGACTCCTGCTTGTGCTCCCACTCGCTGGTCTTGGACTCGGTCTTGTGCTCCCAGTCGCTGGTCTTGGACTCCTTGTGATCCCACTCGCTGGTCTTGGACTCCTTGTGATCCCACTCGCTGGTCTTGGACTCCTTGTGCTCCCAGCCGGTGGTGGTGGACGTCTTGTGCTCCCAGTCGTTCTTGCTGCTGTCCTCAGTCTTGTGCTCCCAGTCGTTCTTGCTGCTGTCCTCAGTCTTGTGCTCCCAGTCGTTCTTGCTGCTGTCCTCAGTCTTGTGCTCCCGATCGTCCGTCTTGTCGCCCTCGTCCTTGTGCTCCCACTCGTTCTTGTGGCTGTCCTCGGTCTTGGTCTTGCTCTCCCAGCCTTGGCTGGAGGGGGCGTTGTACGAGGGAGCCTGAGTGTAGGCCGGAGCAGCGGCGACCTTTTGCCAGTCGTTGTTGTCCTTGTTGTTGTTGTCGCCCTCGTTCTGGTTCTCCCAGTCGTTGTGGCCGTTGTCGACGGAGTAAGCAGCCTGGGTAGGGGCGCCGTAGGCCGGGGCGTTGATCTGCTCCGAGGGGACGTAGACGCTGCCGGCGGCGGCGAAGCTCACCAGGGAGGCGGCGAAGACTGCGGCGGCGGTGGTGGTACGCATTTTGATTGATTTGGGGGCTTTAGATGTTTTAAGTGTTGGAAGAGCGAATGTAGGTAGTGTTTAGAGAAAACGAATGTTTAGAGAGAAAACTCTCGGGAAAAGCAGAAAGAAAACGAAGGAAGAGCTGAAAGCGAATGTGATGTAGAAGCTGAATTGCTGTGCGAGTGCTGAAGAAAAAGAAAGTCGATCTTGGACGGCCTCGACGATGGTTTATATAGATGGAATCGAGGAGGCGAAGATGCAAGCATCTGGATCAGATCATCAGCACAAGGACGCAAACGCTTCGAATGCTGAAGAATCAGAAACATAACAAACCCACCCAAGGAACGTTTTCTTCCATCCTTTTCCTCTCCAACAAGCTCAACACGGAAGCAAAAAAAAAAAAAAAAAAAAAAACTAGCAAAGAATGGTCATTCTGCTAGCAAGGCCGTCTACGGCACGAAACATGTGAGACATGCTAAAGGCAAAAGAAACGCATCCAGGAACATATAGTATGTAAGACAAAAAAAGGGGATGAGAGCAGCCAGCTCAAGCGGCGAAAAAAAAGACATAACAGGTAAAACATGCCATTGCCATTTTTAGACCCCTTCCAGGCAACACTAGACGCTTCTCCCTTTCCTCTTTTTTCGTGTCTACACAAACAGAATCGGTTCGTCTTCGTTCCTCTCCAGCCCCCCTCGGGAATTTCTGCAACACCACCAATTCGTACATTCCAACTGCGCGACGAAAGCAAATTATTCTTCATGCCAATGACGAGCGCCTCACTACCGCAAACACGCAATCTTCCCTCATTCCCTCGGTACCTTTCTGTCCTGATTCAACTTGCCTGAACGGGTTCAGGCGCCTGATTTGATTTACGTCTGAGTTACATGCAACAGTGGATAGATAGGCTCGCAAATACTTTTTGTTGCCGTGATCGTTAGTTTGCAGTACTAAGCTGCCTGTTGAACTTACCCGGAAGAAGAGAAAAAAGGTCTGTTATTCAAATATACAATCATTTCATCTAAAAAATAGCTAGGTAATAGGGTCACGGTCATCTTGGGCGTTGTCGTTAGCCACAAGGTCATAGAAATCCGCGAAAGATCGACTCCATAATAGTTCGACACAAACCAAGTTGAGGCGCCTGATCCGATTTCAGACGAGTTGAATCAGGGCATCAGCAAAAAAAGAGAGACGGATAGACAGGCGGATAGAGAGACGAATAGAGAGACGCCCAGAGAAAAAGAAAAACAGTTCATACGGTGGCATCATTTCCCACAAATTTAGCTAATGCACTTTGGGAATCTTTGCTTTATTGATTTTATTCCTTTTTTTATTGATTTGATGTGATTTGACTCAGGCATATTCCGCCTTCGATTCTCATTCATCGCAGGTCTCATAAGACCGTAAACATACATACAAAAGTACTCAAACATACACCTGTGTCGGCTGGCTCCAGAATCATCCACATCTATTCGATGCCTTTCGCCGTTGCAGTGTCTCAGTTTTCCCATCCACCGCAGAAAGCCCGCAGGCGTACAGTCTCTTCCATGCTCAGGTGATAGATATGTGGCGCGTTCTAATCGACGCGCAGATCAGTAGCCCGCTTCGTTGATTCGCGGCCATAGCCATCGATTCCGGCCAAATGCCCCCTTCCTCCACTCCCTCCTTTCTATGAGCAATGCATAAGTTGTCAAATTGCAACATAATAAAAAATGCGTGCATAAAACAAGCCGCCATGTTTGTGCCGTGTTCGTTGCCATGTGACCTCTCTTCTATACCAGGTTTCCCTTGAACGCCTTCCACTATCTCGTTCTTTTTTTTCTTTTGTCCAAATCAAAACACAAATAGAAAAACATTCTCAACCGGTCGTAGCAACCATTAAAATCCATCCAGGTGGTGAATCAGGTCGAGAAAAAAATGCAGCGCGAGCGTCATGGAAACAAAAAAAAAAAGCAAACAAAACAAGAACAAGAAAAAACAAGTGGCAAATGACACTATGAACACCGGTTCGATGCAGATATGAGAGCAGAAATCTAGTAGGTATCAAGTCGTGCTGCCCTTTGACAAAGCAAAATATAGTCAACCCTTGGACATATTAAAGGGAAAAAGGAAAAAACATATGCGGAAAGGGGAAAATTTCTTCGAGTAAAAATTGGTGTCATGTGCCGGTGAGTCGTCGCATTCGTGAGAGGCTGTGCGCTTGGTGATGCACGCCTGTCATCCATCGTCCAAGTTCGTTAGCATGTACCTAGATGGTGGCCATTACTTTCGGTTGGAGCGACTCAGGCTCCGCTCGACGCCGCCTCGTGGGCCGCCGTCGAGGTTGAAGTTCTGCAGCTGTTGCTCGTACTTGGCGTTGCGTAGGAACTTAGGCACGGAGTCCTGCAGAGTATTATTAGTTGACTGTTACGGCATATGATATGACAGGCAGTAAAAAACTTACACTAGCCATCAGCTTAAAGACGGCGTTTTTAGCGTTCTCGAACAGAGATGTGACCTCCTGCAATGTCTCAACCATGCCGGTCTCTTGGCCAACAGCCTTGGTCATTCTCGTGGCCAGGTTGTTGCGCAGCTGGTGATCGATGTTGAGCTCACAGGGTGAGCCTGGGGCCAAAAAGGCGTTGTAGATGCCGTAGGCCTGAGCCATGGTCTCTTTGATGATGTCCATCGCCTGTGATGAGGGTGTGGACTCGGCTTGTCGGATAGCCGTCTTACAGCCCTGGACGAAGTCGTTGACATCCTTGTAAAAGGACAGGTTCTCCTCGCAGTGCATCTCTCTCAAGTTCTCACGGAAGAGAAGGCGGAGGGCGGGGTCGTTGAGGATCTTCTCGAGACGCTGGGTGTTGGAGTCGCGGACGACACCGTTGCGCTGTGAGCCGGTTCCAGCCTCGCTCTCGGATGGGCGGCCACGGGAGCTAGTGCCGTTGATCACATCCTTTCCTCGCTGCGAGATTTGGTAGACAGAATACTTTGTGGGCTGGAACAGATGACATCCAGGGTTCCCGAGCATAAAGGATCTGTCCTGTACCACAGTATCTATCAACTCAAACTCGACGAAGAGGGATGCGATCTCGATGGCCTCCCGTCGGTCCACAATGGTGCAGCAGTCCACCAACCAATCCGAACAGGCCTTGCCGGTAAAGGTATCTTTGTATACCTTTCCGTTCACCCGACGCTCAGCAGCCATCTTAACACCGGTGAGACCATCTTCGTAATCGTGCAGCGAGTCCGAATCCGCAATAGCCAAGTTGGCCTTGACATTCCGGGTTTCGGTGCCGACGAATCGGCGGAAGATGACCTCGACAGTGCCCCGGTCGCTGAGGATCTTGTCGCTGTGCTGCTCTCGCTCCAGAATAACGAGGGAGCAGCAGTGGAGGCTGACGAGCTCAGAGACTTGCTTCTGTTGGATTCCGTTCCTACCGCAAAATCGATCCAGAATTGCAACACCCTTGGCGGTCAGCTGCCAGACAGAGCCCTTCATGTTGTAGATGGGCTGTAGCTTTCCATCAGCAGACTCGATGAAGCGAGCATCGACAAATCTTTGGCAGATTGTTCTAGCCATGTCCTTGGCCATGGAGAAGGTGGTGGTGGTTGTCGTCGTGACGATCCTTGAGGGGTCCTTGGGGTCAGGCATGCGGTTAGACTGGGAGAACTTCAGAGAACCCAGGTTGTTAATAGCATCTTCAGAGAGGAAGGTGTAGTCCACCTTTGTCAACCGCACTCTGTGAGAACCAAGTGGCAGAAGGCTGACAATCAGTGTGGAGAAGAGATCCTTAAAATCCTATTGTTTATGTTAGACCTTATTGTTTAGGGAAAGCAAAAGGACAGTATAAAGCTGAAAATTCGGCGTGATAGCTGATGCTGCTAATCAGGGTCCAATAGCATTGTAGAGCAGAGATCGATGCAAGGCATATATGGCCTGCGTATGAGCGCCCGCTCCAGAGGATTAAGCGGGGATAAGACAGAAGGGGAAATGATGGATGAAGTAAAACAAAAAAGAAAACAAAAACGAAAGAACAGAGAAATGAGGGGAAAAGAGGATAAGGATCATGATCATCCAGTGATAGGGAGCCACATACTCTGGTGAAAGGCCGTTCATCGTCGGTCATGCGCAACAAGCGCGAGGATGTCTGGTGCATCTTGGGAGAATGCGAGTCAGAATTCAGCCCGTTTGGGGGCTGGCTGGGAGAGTGTTGAGCGGATGAAAACGAGGTTGCAGCAGACTGGCTGTCTCCTCCTGGGTTTGACAGCAGCGACTGGGTCGAGGGATTGCTGAAGGCAGTTGGCCTGTCGGGGCTGGCGGGCTCGTCCCTCAGCTGCTGATGCGAGCCTGCGTTGAGCGAGAGACGGGCGAGCGTTGGGTTGGACTGGCGGTTGCGGATGACGGGCTCTCCAATGCTTGCGATGACGCTCTGGGTTCTATCCAAAGCCGCAACTGCGCGTGAGAGGATGCTCGGTGTGCGCTGGTGGCGTGGCGCTGAGCCTGTGATGGAGACGGAGCTGGCGTGGCGGCGAGAATGTGAGACTGGAGGTGGAGATTTGGAGCCGTCGAGGTGACGCTCTGCAGGTTGCGAGGCGGCCGTGAGAGACTTTGTTCGGTCGGATTGCTGTCCCGGCGGATGAGGCAGAGGCTCGACGATGGTGTTGAGAGGTTGCGACAAGACGGCCATCTGAGAAAAAGAATTAGAACATGGAAGGTTTTAGTGAGCTGGGAGGTCAAATAAAAGAGGGACAATTTGAGCTTCTGGGGGGGAGGGCTTTTGGGGGGGCGTGTACGCAAGGAGCCTGAACTTCAAGCCCTTTAGTGGCGCTGGGGTGGAGGAGTGGGTGCGGACAGCGGGCAGGGGTCCTGTAGAGCCCCGCAGGAGGGTGGCTACAGGGGGTGCATGTACTGTGTGCGCCGCAGTCAATGCTTGTAGACCCTGGCAGGCATTGAATTGATCTCGCTCGTTGTCCGAGTGAGCCCGTGCAGAGGCACAACTGCGGCCTCAGGAGAGCGAGCGACAACGAGACGCTGCGCTGAAGAAATGGGCTGATATCTCAGGATGGCGGGAGGCACTGCTCGTTTTGCGTTTTGACCGCTCTGTGGTCTCTCTTCAACGGATTCAATGCTTTGATTATTTTAATCCTCAAACTCTAAGGAGAAGAAGCACGACAGGCAGGACAGAGATGAGGCAAGGCGAGATGAGGCAAGGCAAGACAAGACGATTTAGAAAATCAGATACCACCATCATCATACAGTGATAGCAGAACCGACTGACCCGTAACTGGTTTCTGGCTTCGGCCGCCGTTGAGCTGCCGGCTTTCTGAAGCTGCACAGGTCCGGGGACGCTCAAGTCAATGCAGCGGCATACAGCGTGTCTCGTAACATTCGCAACGACGACTGCGTTATTGCTAGGCTTCTTCACCGATTGTTTTGATTTTCTTACTGGCAGAGGCGGGATTGTGGCATTGATGGGATGATGCATGGACAAAGTCAGTGTCATTGATTCGGCACCGGAAGCCCAAAGTCATGGCCATGTATGCGCTAATCCGGGCTCTTGAAACTCTGCCGTGGACACACAAGCGCCCCGGTTGCTGCATTGCCCTCGTCAACGCTGTGCAAGGATACAAGAATGTGGCTTGCCGTAAAAACGTGGTTGCGGCACACGATGGTTCATCATGGGGGAGTGTCTCGTAGCACTGCTTGTGCTGCTTGTACAAATACGCGTTGAGAAGTGTCCACTTGGGGTCTCTCATGCTTGCCAGAGCACAGCAGCAGAGCAGCACCAGTAGCTGTTGCAATGGCGGTAACATGGATGAACCGTAGAGGCAGTCTACCATCAGCAGCCTCGTGAGTCAGAGACAAAGGTGAGGTGAGCTGTCCCGCGCATACGAGTTACTGGCTGTAGTGCTTGTGCGTTATGCGTCACCAGCAGTCAGAACTACCGCTGCTAGCTACTAACGGTACAGAGGTGCCGTGGAAACTTCCACGGCCGCTGGCTCGCACAGCGTCCATGTCCCTTTCTGCCGCCATGGCCAGGGCACAATGCTGCTAGGACTGATATCGCATGCATGCCGTGCCTATACTGACTGGTAATAAATTACAGCAGCTGTCGCGCCCCCCTGGCTGGTGTTGCTCCTCAACGCGCGGGCCGCCTGCGTCTTCTCCAGGGCTACCAGATGCGCCGGCTGCTTAGGCATAGAGCTACTAGTACTGTAGGCCCACGAGCAGAGCGAACTGGCCCAGCGCCCTTTGTGGGGCAGCTGACGCTGGCTGGCGTGCACGTCGACTTTTGAGTCGAAGCAGCAACGCCTGTCGCACTTGTTATCAAGCCAGCCGCCCTCGTGTGAAGTTTGACCCAGATCGGCGCGTGGCTCCAGGGATGGGCTGCGTTCAGAACTGGCCGGCGCCATGCCAGGCTCCCTACTGGGCTACTAGCACAGGGCTCTCCTCATGGCTTTTGCCGCCACCACCAGCCAGAAAATCCTGTCATCGTCCACTGGGAGCCTCAGTCGTCATCAGAGCCAAGTTTCGTGCTTTACAAAGGCATGACCGATCTTGCTTGCTTGGGTTCCGTATTCAACTATCGAGGATGTGGCGTGCTGCTAGTAATTCATGCACGCCGTCCAGGGTAGTTGCAGATGCGACAATGTGATGAGTGTTTCGACCCGAGGAAGAAAAAAAAATGGCGACGACTTCACCGCCAATGGAGCAAAGAAGGAAAAAATTATTCAAGAAGCTGCCAGCTAGTGGTTTCCACCAGAGGCCCATTCACAGAACAAGTCTGTTTGAGATATCGGTATTTCAGCAATGGGCTGCGTTTCGAGCGTAGTGCATCTCAAAATAGCAAGGCAAGTGGTCCGATCAATGACACAAGACACAAAAAAAGATTGAAAGCATACGAACCTAGGGCTACTACTGCTAGTTAGCTGGAGGGGCCGGGATCTTTGTCTTCGTTTGCTCCTTACCTGTGGTGCGGCTCCTCTCTTAGCTGAAGAAGCGGTGCAACTCGGTGACGCCGTGATGAAGCAGATTCTCTATGACCGGTTTTTTGTCTTCTTTTTTTTTCTTCCCTCTAAACCTGCTGATATTACCCGGACGAATGGTTGACCTGCCCTTCCATCCGCTTGTTTCAATTCGCGGGCTTCGGAGTTCGCCAAGTAAGAGAGAGGATAGGGATAAGGGGAGCAAAGACAAGTGACGCAAGAGCGCCGGCCGAAGGGGTAGGAAATGCAAATCGTCACAGCGCACGCCGCGACTTTTCTCCGAATTACCGACAAAAACGTGGCCGGCAAAGTGCACGATAGCGTCTCTTCCAGCGCTAGACGGGCTTTTGCTTCTTTCGCGCTCTCTAGTCAACTGGGTAACGTTCGTTAGCATCAAGCTAGTTTGCATAGCACGCAGCGCTTTTCTGGGTTTCACAGTCATGTGGTCACTGGGGAACTGGCCCTTGTCATTTTTGGCTGCGGCGGGGCCTCCCTGTGACGAGCCAATGAGCTTTGGCCACCTGTAGACGCCTTCTAGAAGCTCAGTGGAAATCGCCCCCGAAACAAGACAGGGGGCCCATCTAGGAGCGGACGCAACTTTGCGCTGTTGGGAGGGGGGGTTTGTTCTGCTGGGCTGGGATGGCGATATGGTAGTGTGATAAAAGGCGTATGTAAGAGAAAATCACACTGCTCACATTTGGCCCTTTCTTACTCGTGACTTGGCCAAGAGCGGCGCAGAATCCGGGGTATGTCTCCTTCGGGCGTTAGTTGCGGTGCCTTGCCCTTCCAACTGCTCTGAAAATGGCCAAGTTGTAGGATCAATCTGAGGAGGAGGCACAGGCAGGTACTTTGTATTGCCAAGAGTAGCACAATGCACTAATAGTTCATCCTTCGTTCCGGCTGTAACAATCTGTTGAAGGGCAGTCCACCGAGAATAGACAAATCAGAATAAGAAGGGCGAAAGTGTAAATGGTCACGTAAAATTAAATAATGCAAGCCTCTCAGCAATTCGTTCTCAGCCGTAATTTGGAGGACCAAGAAGCATAAGACGGTAAAAGCAAAAGCAAACTGGTGAGCAAAGCACAGCCTGCAAGTGGCGGCGGCGAAGGCGATGGCCGAGAGCGGCGTCAAGCTTAATTTCTTTGGATAGAGTGATCTTATCGGAGGTCGAACCCTAAAATTTCAAGAAAAGCTGATCAGGGAGAGCTATTTAGGGATTTTCGGAGCTGGCGGCAGTTTTGTGATTGAAACCAGGCAGACCCAGGGGGGTGGTTTGACGCAGGAGGACCAGAGCACGGGAGAAAGAGCTGAGATCAGGAGAGGAGAACACGGACCATGCGTCATCAGCAATTTGATCGTATCCAACTGTGCAAGGCCGTGCTTTTTATTGATTTTCCCCTGGGAGGGCTATATTTTATAAAGAGGTGTTTTGTAGAGAGGAGACCCTAGGATGGCTTATACATGGACCAATGCATTTACGAGCAAACAATTGCCATTTTCTCCGCGGCACCAACTGCTCATACACTAAGGTGAAGGATTAACGGACTGTGATGGCCATGGTGATGATTATTGCATGTAGCGGTGTGACAAAGAATGAGCTGAAATCTGCATTGCGTCCTTCAAAGTCCCAGGGTAAAGAACCTAGAGGAAGAAACAGGAAAAAGTCATGCAGACGTATGCTAAGACCTAGCGGTAATCTCTTTGCATCACGGCTGGGCTGAATTGTAATCCCGCGCTGCTGTGCTGCTGCATGCTGGCTGTTTCAGGAGGGTATCAAGCTTCGAGTCACGTAAACGGCGCGCTGTAAATGCCGAGGTGAGCTTATATTGCGGCTTGGCTTCAGGTCGTATTTAATGCTTGAGCGCTTGACGCAGCTACTGCTACCACGTTGCCGCTAGCTAAGCCTTAAGCAGGATCGGCATATATGTATGGTGCCATGTAAGTAATCTTTTGAGGGTAGCAGAGCGAGGGCCGATCTGCCAAGGCGAGATCTTGTCGAGGCCGCTCATCTTGCTGCCGCGAGCTTACTCCGTATGCTCGTTTTAATTTTATTTGCGCCAAAAATACATAGATGCGTTTAGAGTTTGAGTGCTAATACATGTCCCTACCTCTCCGGTACCGTATCTGGCATATGCCAAATTAGGATACTCGATTCCTGCGAGAAAGGAAAAAAAAAGAAAAGTACACATTTATATGAACGAATTCACAATGTCGTACATGTGGACCGGTTTGCTTTTACGTGTTACGTCTTGGCCTTGAAATTTTTCTTTGTCTGTAATTGTCTACCTCTTGAGATGAGAAGAAGAAAAAATCAATGGCATGTTACAGTTCAGCGCCCTACTTGTCTCATTGACGGGCGTCTGTTGAGATTAAAGACATTGCAGTATTAAAAAGTTCCATCTGCTCTCTTGCGGCTCCGAGCTCGTATTCAATGTTGAAAATGCGACATGGCCATGGCGTTAAGGCACGCCAAGAATTGACTACTGCTTTATATGGCAGCCCTTGGTAAAGCAGCCGGTGGTAACGGCGGGTTTGAATTCGACCCGAGATTCTTTCCGACTAAGCCATGGGCATATGCATTGGAGCGGTTATGCATGTCTCGGGGTGGCGTTCTCTCCTTCAATTGCCCTCCCTCGCCAGTGCTGCCTATACCAGTACGCCAGCACGGTTGCACACGTACCTACTTGTATTTTAGTACAGG